CTAGCAGCCTCACACTAAGGACTTATCCACGTCATCATTTACCCAGAATACTTTGCGTGTAAATAAAATGGTCCCGTCCATGTTAAAATATATTTTGAAACTTTTAGTTTAAAAATGATAAAAACTGAACATCCTGCAGCATTTTTAAAGTCTTTATTTTACAGTTAAAATATATGTTTATCAAATAAAGTCTAATGTTACAACTAATCATGGGTCCCTTTAAATGCCTTATGTCTTCAACCCTGTTCTCATGACTCACTGTCCTGCATGTTTTAAATGTTTCCCTGTTTCAGCACACCTGCCTGAGATAAATGAGTGATTGACAGACTTCTGCTAAACCTGGTGACATTCTGAGTGGTGATTAAATTATTTGAATCAGGTGTGTTGAAGCAGAACAGCTACGACTTGCAGGAGAGTGGGTCATTGTTGACCTCTGCCTTAGAGAGAACAAGACATTAGATCCAAACTTTTCAGAGGTGAATGCAAGGAGTGTACAGTATTTTCACAGTAATGCTCAAGGAATCCATAACTCTTTCAAATTAAGACAAACCTTGTTAGCTTGATCGAATATTCCTGCTGCTCAGACCGTCAGCAGTCCTTTCATTGTCTTTGTTGTCTTTGAAGGTAAACACATAGCTTTCACAGAGTAATTAGATCAGAGACTTTTGTACATTTCTGCCATAGAAACTAAAACATTTTGCAGCTTGAAGTCATCAATAAGTACAGAACATGTTTGGAGGTTTGTTTTGATCAATCCAGGCTCTAATAAATGATCGGCAGCTCACATCTCTCCAGTTCTCTAATAAATAACAAGCCCTGCTGGTGAGTGAGTTGGGGGTTTGATTCCACTGCTAATCAGTGACATATTGAAGTGTCCCTGAGTTAGGTTAGTGCTGTGGAGGTGGGTAAATGAGAGCAGAGTGCTTTGAGTATCCTGTAAATAAGTGCAGCCCATTTACCATCTGTGGGTTTTTGAGTAAGGTTTGTATTAAAGTTGTTGTTTTTTTTTCTCTCCGTTCAGCTTTTAAAGCAGAGTTTCTATAAAACTGTTTCTGTAAAAAGTAATAAAAAGTAAAGTTTGTGCTAAAATAAGTCCAGATGCTGATAGTTGCGTCTCGGCGAGTTCCGTTGAACGTGGATGAATAATTGAAAGTTTTGAGTGAGGAAACATAGAAGCATGATGGGAAACAACCCAATGACCTGAATTCTTCTTGTGCAGCATCATTTTCAGTTAAAGTCTTGATGCTTGGAGGAGCAGTTCGCAGAAAGTGTCCAAAAAGCATTAGGGATTATTTTTACCTGATGTTTGTTTCACTGCTTTTGAAATTTTCAGGGTTTTGATAGCTTGAAACTGATCATAACAAAAAAAGTATGTTTTTCATTTAATTTTCTGCTCTCCCACCGAGCTGAGAGGCAGCTCGGAAGAACAAAAGAGACGTTTGTGCTGTCCGGGATGAACCAGACACATAGAACTGTGACAAAACAAAAAACTCAAAAGGAGCAGAACAAACCTATAAACAGACTCGTTTTCTATTTTTGAAAACGTTTACAAAGATTTGCAGGCATGTGTGTAGCTCGCTGTCATCTACAGACCAGAAACGGGGGATCTTTTTAATCTCATCATCAGAAGAGGATAATGGACGAGCTGCACAGGAGAAATAAAATCCCAGATCATGACCTTCACTAAAGATCCTCCAGCTCCTCATCATACGAGCCTAAGTAGATGTTTTTGAAAGCATTTACCACATAAACCATTGTCTTTATAACTCTCATTATGTTAATGTTGTATTTTTTTAAATCTTGATCGCCTTCTTTTTTCTAGACAGGCAGTGACTTTGTGACTTGCAGCCTCCTCTGCAGCCCCTGCACACACTCTGGATTAACGTTCTCTGCATAAACATGCCCCAGCGAGTGCACAGACAGATTAAAAATGAGATGTTTTTTACAAGCTTTTTAATGCAGACTCACACAACACGTCCATCTTTAGAAGGTTACCGCTCTGACAGCAGGTTCACGGAAGCTGCCTGCATGATAGAACGAGGCCAAAGCTGCGAAACCGGGCAGCGATTTTCAGATAGCTATCATCATCTCACAGAGGCCGAGGGGTCTGAGCTGTGATTTTCCATGGAAGCAGGTCAATACCTCACCAACACTGTTCAGTTTGTCAGATCTTTTTATAAAAACCTGATTGTCCTCTGAGGCCAACAGCTTGGACAGTGTAGCCACCACTCAGGAAATCATGCTCTTTTGGTAAACATAATGGAGACAAATTGGTTGGATCTTCTATTTTATGGAGTCAGACTGCATTAACTATTACAGCTAATCTACAGAGACCATTAAATTAGTGGTTTAGTGGCTCGCATCTTTTTCTTATTTACATTTTTAGTGAAGGGAAGTGTGTTTCCCCTGAAACAAACACACACACACACTCACTAAATCTTCCTGTTACATCACTTCATGTTTGTATTTGTGTATTTGTAGTTGGCTAACTCTGATATCATATTTCTTAATTAAATATTTATTGAATTTTTGATGGGTTCATTTGGACAGACAATTATTTTCCTTCTAATTCACTGTTCTCATGTTGTTAAAGTAGACTATAGACTTAAGAATCCTTTGTTTAAATGCACATAATTGTTATTATTTAACTTTTTTTTCTTTGTGAGTCACAGATCCCAGCTTTAATTTAGTATTTGTGAAGCTGAAAGGGAAAATAACTGTGAAAGCAGAGCCACCTGGGGGCCGACACACTCATCCTGGCTCCCTTCTCACCCAACAGATCAGGGAAATCCCACCGAGATAAACGGCAGGAAAATGAGTTATTATGCAGCTTTCAGCACAGCCGCTCAAGGTTTATCATATTAAAGCGTGAATGATAAATGTGTGTTTCACTGGAGTGTTTCAGGAAAGGTCGCGGAGGGACATGGGAGAAAATAAGTCATGTTCCCATTTAGGTGAGGGTAGGGGGGCTTTGTTTTATGAATATATATGCCCAGAGCTGCAGCACGGAAGCAGCAGCCTTCACTCAAGGTCGAGTGCAGCGTGTCGAAACGTGTTCATCACCGTTATTAACCTCTGAGATTCTCTTTAGTATTTATTTTAATAATCTGTTTGACCTGCTGTCATAACACTTTTGCTGCTGGTCTACCCTTGAAAATGACCTTAATAGCATCAACAAACAAGGATGTGCTAATAAAAAGCAACTCAAAAATGTCTCAAATAATAAAAAGAAATATTTAGTTATTTATTTTGTACAGAGCCCATCCAGTGACATTAGATTAAAAAAATTATTGCGTGACCACACCGTATGTATGTCATGGTCATGAGATAATTATTGTGGTCACTTCCATGCAGAGGCCATTGATCCATGGACGAATCTGAATAAATTTTGTTTTATGTAGAAATTAATAACATGCCTGTCACTTACATTAGGCATGAAGTAGTTCTTAACATTACATTATGTTACATCTGTAAGACCAAGGTGGTGACTGAAGTTGTATATGTTCAAAAAGATTGCATCGGATCTCGCCTTGTTCACGATTCACAAAAATCTGAGCTTCACTGTGTATGTTATGCTCAGATACCAAATAATCAATCAATATTTATGAATTAATAATTTTTGTGTTTCCTAAGTTCAGTTAGCTGTCATTCCAAAACGAGTAGATTCCAAAAGTTGTAGATGTAAGTCTTGAAAGTTTTATTAAAATCTGTCCAAATGGTTCATGAGATATTTTGCTATTACAGATAAATAAACAGAAACAAGGATAGAAACTTCATCTTCATTTATTTCTTTCAGTGGTGGGCCATCAAAACAATTGTTTGAAGGAGTTCTGGTTATTTAAATGTTCCTGTTATAATGCCAGAGAATTTGCCCAAATTCTGGTCTAAATAAAAAGTTTTTTTAATTAAAATAGACTATTTTAAAATAAAAAAGGTCTGTCATATAGTAACGTCTGACAAAAACAATCATACTGCTTTAATTAGGCGTATTTTATGTGACGCAGCTGTCAGTTTCTGCAGTGTTGCAGTAATTAAACAGTTTTTGAAGCACCGTCTTTAGCCACATGGTTGGGATCTGATTCAGCAGAAATGCAAAATGTTACAATGCAAACCTCAAAGACTCTTAAAGTCTTTAACATCACTGAAGTTCATGGAAAGGATAAATGGATTTTTCTTCTTTTTTGTTTTTATCACTTTTGATTTCTTTTGGCCATTTTTCTTGATGCCCTAAATTGTGGGAAAGAAACAGTCCAATGATTATTTTAATTTGCTCAGTTTCAGCAAAACTGACTGACTCTATTGTGAAATTGCTTTTCTTTAAATATGCTCTTCTTAACCTACATAATAAAGTAACTGCAGAATAAATACATACATTTTCCTGAACGGCAAATTTCTTCAAAGTGCTGAAGTTGCTCTTAGATTAGCATCTCAACAGCTTGATTCAATAGGCAGTCAGATGATTTACTTTTACGTTTTCATAAAGCTGGCAGACTCAGAAGGGCCGAATATAAAACACTTAGTCAAAGCTGCTGAGGCTCAGATATTTTTCACTTTTTCCTTCGTGCAGAAAACATTTTCAAAGCATCTATTAGTTTTTAGTCACAGCAGCCACGCCTGGTTGGTGGTCTCACTTTGTAGCGTCATCATAATTACATCAGCCATAAAACAACTTGGCTTTTAAAGAGTTGATCACCTTAGATGTTTGACGTTGCTGCAAAGTTTCCATGCAACACAAACACCACATGTCATACAAACACAAAATAGTACATACTGTACATTTAAATAGTTATCTTTTTCTCTTTGCTTCAGGCATGCACACCAGCATCAGCGAGATCCTGAAGGAGAAAAGCCTGAAGCCATCTCGCCGCAGCCTGCCATGTCTGGCCCAGAGTCAAACACATCCAATCAACCTCAACCACTTCCTATCAGTCCCCCTGAGTCCAGATCCCAAACCAGAGGTCGAGGACCTGAGTCAGAACATCAGCACCTCCTGCAGCCTCCTCCCCCCACAGACAGGTAATTCCACAGACAGGAGCACATTTTCCTCTCAGAATACTGGATTCAGCTGCTGCACAGATGATTTTTTTTTTTATTGGAGTGATTTAAAGCACACACATCCAGTAATATTAATTGAGCAGATTATGTTAAAGCTGCAGGGCCTCTATAAAACATTGCTGAAAGTCACAGCTGTCGTGCACTTCCACAAGCAGTCAGATAATGAAGGAAATTGCTGTCAAAAGGGGAATTTATCCATCCTCGCACGAATGAGTTACTCAGAGCAGCATGTTAAGAGGAAAATTATTCACTCGGTGTCTTCAGGAATGCTCAAAGGCAGCGAGAGCTCTATTTTTGTCGATACAAAAGCAGCACTTTAATTTCTTTTGTGTGTTTCATAGATCTCAAAATGCCTTCTGTGCAAAGAATTGTTTTGGTGCTGCTGAGTGGTAAAATCGGAATAGCTTTGAGGACGTCAGGCTAGGTAGTGGTTTGAGAACTGACATTCTGCACAGCGATGTCAGAGAAAGACGTCTGATTTTTGCTTTAACTTGAGAATGGTGCAGATGATAAAATGCAGGGATTGACAGACAAGATTTCCCACTATTTCCTCCTGTGCAAACGGATGAACTAACAGCTGCTGTGCAAAACAAAATGTGACATTTCTTAGTATTTTATTGTTATTAAGTAAAAACAAGGGCAGCAGCTGTAAAATACTACATTTCTTAATTGCACATTACAAACAATATCAGATCAGCTTTTACATATTACAAGGTTGATCAATCTGAAAAGTGTTTGACATAATCAAGGAACGTTTGCATTAATAAGGATACTGAATAAATACTAATGCATTATAGAGAAGGGTAGCTTTACAGGAGTGTACTCACTTTTTGTTGGAAGTTTAAACTAAATCAGCAAAGTTTAAGCCATCCTGGGATGTATTTTTCTTATTTTTTTACTCATTATTATTTATGTACTTCTATTAATTATTAATACTTTCCCTAAGTATTTTATTTTTACTCCTTGTATGTTTAAAATAAATTAAATAAAATCAAGCTAAGCAGGAACGGATTGTTAAAAAACATTCCTTGAAAAGTTTTTAACACAAATCTCTCACTATTAGTGCTTGTGGTATGTAATAAAGATGACTCTCAGCTACTACCACACCACATTCAAAGTCAATATTTGTAAAACTGACTGAGTTATAGCTATTTTTGTCTTAGCTAATATTGATTAGCTGTGGTGGCCATCTTGAATCAGGTCTACTCCCAAAGTTAATAAGTTGCAGGTGTACTTACAGGAACTAAAATCTGTTCTGTGGTTCATGAGATCTTTTGCTAACTCAAGCTAAGTGAACACAGAGCCACTTGTTTTTATCGACAGCAGGCAATAAAATTGAAAGCTGGTTAACATAATTTTAAATAAGGTTGTTTTGAAACTTTTCAAAGCATTGTGATTTTTTTTGTTTTGTTTTGTTTTTAGGGTTCCAGAAACAGCCCTCATGGAGCCGTAGTACATTTGAGATTACCGGTACTCAGAAAGTTTTGCTGCTAAACATTTAAAAATGAATTGTCTCAAGCATAATTGTTGCTCATAAGTTCAAGCTATACAACAGGAATAGTTGCTATTGTTTTAATGAGGAAATATTTAAACTTTGTTTTTCATGCAGGTCAATGAGTCGAGGAGCACAAGAGACAAACAAGTTAGATGAACTCATGAATAAATAATTAGAGATTTCAGATTGAGACCAGCAGTTACATTCGGTGCTCTCTAAGAAACAAATATCCACTTTAACTCTACAGAAACTGCAGCAATAACAATTCTGTCCATGTGCACCGTCTGGTTTTACTGCTTCAGTGTGCAGCAGTGCTGTGTCTGCTGTAAGTGATGCACTTCAGTGGACTTATTTTGACTAATCTAACCACATGACAATGGAATTTCTACAGATTCACTTCCCAGTTCTTTAAAATAATAATAATACAAAAACACACTTTCTTGCCTTCATGGTTGAAACACAATTTGTTTTAAATTAGTATGAATCTGTTTATTTTCTCTCTAATAATCCTGTTTGTTTTGCAAAAACAAACTGTATTAATATTTTTATGACACTATGGCTTAAAAAAAGAGGTACAAACTCCTCCAAAATTCAATTGAAGATTAACATGTCAGTCAAAGGTGAGACCAGGACTTGTAATCTGAGATCAGCAGTTGAAAATGTGTGTGAAATGACATTAGCTGAAGAGTAGAAAACTGGGATGAAGCTCAGCTACATTGTTCCCTTTAATTTATCCACTTTCACACTTGGTTCTGCACATCACAGATGAAAGTCACACAAAGCTGATCTGTTAGCGACACAAATACACTTGACTGGAGAAATGAGAAACCTGTCACACATGAAATGAAGCAGATATAATTTGTTCTGTGCTGTTTTAACGGTTTGTTTTCCATGTCAGGCTATTAGAGCTTGTGCATAATAATATTTGTGTTGTTTCATCCTTTTGTCTGGCTTATAGAAAGCACAGAAAATAAGGAATTTATTATGAGTTGTGTTACTTTTTAGGTGATTGAAAAAAATAATTTCTTGAACAGCATGCTGTTTTGCTCTGCAACATTTTGTTTTTGCATTAAAGGAAACATAATCTCTCTGGCGGCACGGTGGCTCAGTTGGTAGAGCTGATGCCTCTCAGCAAGAAGGTCACCGGTTCAAATCCCGGTCCGGGGACCTTTCTGGGTAGAGTTTGCATGTTCTCTCCGTGCATG